AAATGAACACGCTTGTGATAACCATTTGTCAAGATCTCATTGAGCGTTATCGGGAGAGGGTGGGGGGGGTGAGGGAGGGGTGAAGAGGAGGTGAGGGGTGAGGGAGGTGAGGAGGGTGGGGAGTGAAGAGCAGGGAGGGTGAAGAGGAGAAAGAGGGTGTTTGGGTCAATGGAGATGGAATGGAATAAGGTAAACAGAGAGGGGGTGGGGTGAGGTGAAGGAGAGGAGTGGGTTAGGGAAGGTGAGGAGTAAAATGAAAGCGAGGATGGAGCCAGAGGAGGGAGGGGAGAGGGGGTGGGGGTGAGAGGAGAGTGGAGGAGGTAAGGGATCAAGGGTGTAGGTGGGTCACCATCCGTTGAAAAAAAAGCATCTGACCCCACCACTTTCTGATGATCACAACATTACGACCACCCCCTCTCTCTCTCTCTCTCTCTCTCTCAATATACCTCACATAGACACTATATATTCTGTATAAGGCAATAGAGGCTTAGAACCCTCTTACAAGGATCCCACTGAGCTCCTGTGATCTCCTGTATACGGAATAACGAAGCCAGGTCCTCCCCTCTCTCTCCTTATAGGATAAATGAACCTAATTAACTGCATCTAGGATACTAATGGCGTGTTTTTATCATGTCTTTCACAGGTAAACAACAGCGAGGATGACCTTCATTCATCCAGGACGATAAGGTACTGATAACTCTGTGTGTGTGTGTGTGTGTGTGTGTGTGGGTGTGTGTGTGTGTGTGTGTGTGTGTGTGTGTGTGTGTGTGTGTGTGTGTGTGTGTGTGTGTGTGTGTGTGTGTGTGTGTGTGTGTGTGTGTGTGTGTGTTTTCCCGTCTGACACTTCCTTGGCGGCAGACGACTATCAGGAAGAATGACAAGGAACAGGTATAAGGTGAGACAGTGCTTATGAATAAGAAATAAAGTGATGAAGGTAAGTAGAGAAGATAGGAGACGTAGAAAAATAAGTGGACGAGAGAAAATGGAGGAGGAGGAGGAGCAGGAAGGAGGAATAGGAAGAGGAAGTAGAGGATGAGTAGGGATTTCCTGATATATGTGTGTGAGAAAAGCAAGGAGAGAGAGAAGAGCAGGTGAATGACAAGAACCTTCCAACCTGTTAATCTACTTGGGTAATCTTCCTTCCAGGTGTGTGTGTGTTTGGGACTGGGCGGCGGAAGTCACTATCTGTACCTCGCGTCACCTGTACCTAAGAAACAATGAGTGACGTAATAGTGTTGTGAGAAGCGATTCAATTATTTATTCCATTCATTTCCGTTTGATTACCTTGATATATTCCCATTCCAACTAGATTTTTTTTTCCTTTAAGTTTCCTTTTTAAAATGAATAATTTTGTTCACATTATTATTTTATTTCCCAGATTTTTAGTATTAATTTTCTTCAAATGCTCTCTATAATCAAGTACTTCCCCCATAGGGCATTATTTTCCCCCAAAGAACTTTATTTCCCTCGACAACTTTATGACCCTGGAAAATGTTATTTCCCCTGATGTATATTTTATTTCTTCCCTCAAGTACTTTATTTCCCTCAAGGATTCTACCTCCACCCCCGGAACTTTATTTCCCTCAAGTACTTTACGTCTCAGTTGTGTTGTTATACTCGTAAGAAATATTCCGTCCAGTCAGTCCCCCCAGACCAGCTGTTGGAGATTAATGTGGCCACTTAACATAATCCAGAGAAATTAGAGAGAAATTAGAAAAACACAGACTCGGACAAATTGATTCATTAGCGCTCAAAGAAACACATGTTAAGTTCCACAATAAAAACTTTCAAACATAATAGAAAAGAAAACTTTACAGGAACTTAGATTCGGTACTAATGAACGAAACATTTTGAAGCCGAATAAACTTTGAAAATGCTGTTGTTGTTGTAGTTGGTGTCGTTGTTGTTTATAATGGAGGAATAAATTTAGCTGTTAAGTAAGAATAGAAATGTATTAGTGTTATGAGATTTAGATAGAATAATTAATTTAATACTGAAAAATATGTGTGTGTGTGTGTGTGTGTGTGTGTGAATGCATTTCTGGTTTTGACAATCTCTCTCGCTCGCTCTCTCTCTCTCTCTCTCTCTCTCTCTCTCTCTCTGTGTGTGTGTGTGTGTGAATGCATTTCTGGTTTTGACAATCTCTCTCTCTCTCTCTCTCTCTCTCTCTCTCTCTCTCTCTCTCTCTCCACCCTGGCTGCTGTGAACCGACCTGACACTGACCTTGGATTGTTTCGCTTTAAGCTAAGCCGCCGTAGTTCACCACCCAGGCAAGAATTTAACCTTTTGTCTGTGTGTCTATATCTGCCTGTGTCTGTCTGTAAGCCTGTTTCAGCCTAATGAGAGAGAGAGAGAGAGAGAGAGAGAGAGAGAGAGAGAGGGTGAGAGAGAGAGAGAGAGAGAGAGTAAGAGAGAGAGAGAGAGAGAGAGAGAGTAACTATTCTCAACTCAGAGCACAAATGGTGCGTATCTGGGAGAAAATTAATTTTGTTCACACACACACACACACACACACACACACACACACACACACACACACACACACACACATAGAGCATACACAAACAACCCGTCAAAACGCATACAAAATATCCATTCCAGTAACTTTTCGATAAAATAAAATGAATTTGGTAGAGTATATGGACGGCATACTGGTAAAAAAAATAAAAATCTCCCGCCAAGAGACTTTTGCATTCCAAATACCGATATTTAAAATCCTCTGTCGTTCCTGCATCCAAAAACGTTGTGTGTGTGTGTGTGTGTGTGTGTGTTGATTTTGTCCCCTAACTGGTGAACGTGTCTAGTTAAGGTAGAGTGTGGTAGTTAGGTGAACGTGTCTAGTTAAGGTAGAGTGTGGTAGTTAGGTGAACGTGTCTAGTTAAGGTAGATTGTGGTACTAGGTGAACGTGTCTAGTTAAGGTAGAGTGTGGTAGTTAGGTGAACGTGTCTAGTTAAGGTAGAGTGTGGTACTAGGTGAACGTGTCTAGTTAAGGTAGAGTGTGGTAGTTAGTTGAACGTGTCTAGTTAAGGTAGAGTGTGGTGCTAGGTGAACGTGTCTAGTTAAGGTAGAGTGTGGTAGTTAGGTGAACGTGTCTAGTTAAGGTAGAGTGTGGTAGTTAGGTGAACGTGTCTAGTTAAGGTAGAGTGTGGTGCTAGGTGAACGTGTCTAGTTAAGGTAGAGTGTGGTAGTTAGTTGAACGTGTCTAGTTAAGGTAGAGTGTGGTGCTAGGTGAACGTGTCTAGTTAAGGTAGAGTGTGGTAGTTAGTTGAATATGTCAAGTTAAGGAAGAGTTTCAGTGTAATATTGCTGGACATTATATTCACGCTTTAGCTTTAATAAACTCTTTAAAAAAGACGATTTTCCTCTCCAGTCTCGAGATACAAGAAGGAATCAACGAGAGAATCTGTGTCGTGTTCTGTTGAGTTTCTGATATATTCAAGGCAGATGAAAACGTTTTAAAGTAGAGAGATGTTTCTAAGTTTACGTATATTGACCACATCAACACCTTCCCTTACTGATTAACTAACTGACTGATTGACTGACCGACTGATTGACTAAATGACTAACTGACTGACTGTGAGAGGCTTTAGGTCTATATTAACTGATTTACTCGTCTCACTGATAGAGTGTACTACTGAGACAGTTGTTCTGTATCACCGTGTCTCTGGCCTGTACTAACCTAATTAACCTAACCTAACCCAATTAACCTAAACTAATTTAAGTACAAATTGATGGTGTAAAAGTACCAATAGGTAATTTAAATGAAAGAGAGAGTCAATTTGACCTAAAATACACCAATTTCCAGGGAATTATACCAATGGGCACAAAATATGATCCCTATTTGGAAGATTAATATACCATACGTTAGGATTGGACTGGAAGCATGACTCTGAACATTATTTTATCACTTATTGAATAGCAATCATATAACCCCTGCTCCTTGATCTCTGCCCCTTGCTCCCTCCTTTGCATCTATTGCCCTCTGCTTTCTGCTCCTTGCCCCCTGCTTTCTGCCCCTGACCTTTGCTACCTGACCCCTGACCCTTGCTTTCTGCCCCGTGCCCCCTGCTCTCCGCCCCTTGCCCTTGCTTTCTGCCCCTTGCCCCTGTTCCTTGGCCTCTCCTCCCTGCCCCCATGCTCTCTACCGTATGCTCCCCGATTCGTGCCCCTGACCCCAATATAAGCTTATAACTGAACAAGGTATTTGACGATATATCTCCAGGTGTTCATAAGGCAACACTTCCCCGAAAAATTAATCAAGTAGAAGCGTTCTCACATTTCCAGGTGGGAGAACAAATTGGACGTGAGTAATAATTAGACTATTTATGTGTCTCAGCTGTGAGCCTGTTAAATACATACTATCATAGCTACTTAAAGAAGAATATACCTCCCAAATAGTTGAAATTTTACCTCTCCTTCTCACCACAACTCTCAACAATCCTGCCATTTGGTATAAGGGAATAATTGATAATCCATATTTGTGTCGAGGACCAAGTGAACTAGGTTAGGTAAGACTGTACATCCCTCGTTTAAGGTCAAACTTCCCCCGTGGGAGTGTTTGGATGGCCCGGGAGGTGAGGGGTCATGCAGCTAGTAGGGTGACCAGCAGACCTTTATTGGACCACCTCCTCTGTCTTGTACTCCCACTATTGTCTTCTGTTGAGATAAATGAACAGTGAGAGAAACAGATAAAGAAAGAGGGGGAGAAATACGGAGATGGTGGGAAGGAGACGGAAAGACTATGGCTCACACACACACACACACACACACACACACACACACACACACACACACAGCCAGTAGGGGTCTGTCTATCTCTATATATAACTATTTTTTAAATTTGAACATGCTACACACCAAGTTCTACAGACTGTAAGAGAGAGTGTGTGTGTGTGTGTGTGTGTGTGTGTGAGATGTGTGTGTGTGTGTGTGTGTGTGTGTGTGTGTGTGTGTGTGTGTGTGTGTGTGTGGTGTGGTGTGTGGTGCAGCATCGACCTAGATGTCACGGGATGTTAAACTGGACAAGAGAAGGTAGTGGTGGTGGTGGTGGTTAGAGGTGGACCATCCTTCTGTCCTCCTCCATCCTCCACCAGATTCACCCCTCCTCTTCCTCCTCCTCCCACCACCAGATCCACTCCACAACCAGATAGTCTGGCCCCTGGGTTTGCCTGTCATATACTGTGGTACATGGATGGAATTTCCTATCTGCAAGGACACACACACACACACACACACACACACACACACACACACACACACACACACACACACACATACACAACACACACACACAAATACAAACACACACACACACACACACATACATACACACATACACAAACACACACATACATACACACATATACACAAACACAAACAGACACTCATGCACACACGTATTGTTATTCATTTTATTCATGTTTGTTAACAGATTGACGCTGTTGGTTAGATCTGTTAATTATTGGGTTATTCTATTTCTTACGATACACACACACACACACACACACACACACACACACACACACACACACACACACACACACCTGTCCCTCACTCTACATTTCCCATATCGTTTCTCTGTCTTCGTGTTGCTACATTCTCCTTATCTCTCTCTGTCTTCTTCGTGTTTCAACAGGTCCCTCAGCCTCAGTCTCCTCTCACTGTCCTACAGTCAGCCTCACACGGGTCCCACAGTCAGCCTCTCACCGGGTCAGTCACAGTCAGCCTCTCACCGGGTCGGGTCAGTCAGCCTCTCACCGGGTCCCACCAGTCACAGTCCCAGTCAGCCCTCACCGGGTCCTACAGTCAGCTCTCACCGGGTCCTCACAGTCAGCTCCCTCACCGGGTCCCACAGCCTCTCACCGGGTCCTACAGTCAGCCTCTCACCGGGTCCCAAGTCAGCCTCACCGGGTCCCACAGTCAGCCTCTCAGCACAGTCAGCCTCACCGGGTCCTACAGTCAGTCTCTCACTCAGTCAGCCTCACCGGGTCCCACAGTCAGCCTCTCACCGGGTCCCCACAGGTCAGCCTCCCCACCGGGTCCCACAGTCAGCCTCACCGGGTCCTACAGTCAGCCTCACCGGTCCCACAGTCACTCCCCACCGGGTCCCACAGTCAGCCTCACCGGGTCCCACAGTCAGCCTCTCACCGGGTCCCAGTCAGTCACAGTCAGCCTCTCACCGGGTCCCACAGTCAGCCTCTCACCGGGTCCCACAGTCAGCTCTCACCGGGTCCCACAGTCAGCCTCAGTCCTCACCTCACCGGGTCCCACAGTCACCGGGCAGTCAGTCTCACTCACCCAGGGTCCCCAGTCAGCCCCTCAGCCTCTCACCGGGTCCTACAGTCACCCTCTCACAGTCAGCCTCCCCACCGGGTCCCACAGTCAGTCCATCACCGGGTCCCCAGTCAGGGGTCCCACAGTCAGCCCCACCGGGGGTCCCACAGTCAGCCCTCACCCCACAGTCACCTGGGTCCCCCTCACCTCACCTCCAGGGGTCCTACAGTCAGAGTCAGCCCCCTCACCGTCCTACAGTCAGCCTCACCGGGTCCTACAGTCAGCCTCTCACCGGGTCCTACAGTCAGCCTCTCACCGGGTCCTACAGTCAGCCTCTCACCGGGTCCTACAGTCAGCCTCTCACCGGGTCCTACATCGTTCCCTCAATCCCATCTCCACTAAGATCCAACTACGTGACGTCATCAGGCTTCACACGGAAACAAAGGCTAATCTAAATGTATTCTTTCTCTAAATAAAGCCAAGAAAGTGCATTGGGGAGGAGGGATGGGAGGGAGGGAGGGGACAGGTACAACTGGGAAGCAAAGAAGGGGAGTAGGACAGGGGGGAACTGGAATGGGGAGGGGAGGGATGGGTGGAGGGGTGAAATTTTGAGGAGGACAGATGAGGAATGGGGGAGAAGAAGAAGCGAGGGGATAGGCAGAATTGGGAGGAGAGGAGAGGGGAAGTGGAATGTGGTTAAAGGGGAGGTGTGAAGAGGGAAAGGGAGAAGGAAAACCGAAAGGTGGAATGGGGAGGGGAAGAAAGGAGGGAAAAATTATTACTTTAAAGGGAGAAGGAAAGGAAGAATTGGAAAAAAATTAATAATTACCCCAACATATACTCATAAGAGCCAGCCAGGTAGACATCACTCCGGGCCTTGCATGTATTATACATTATTATTACTCACCTGAGCATGACTCCCCCAGTAAAGGTTCACACATTAATTTTGCTTAGTATGAAACTTTTATATCGGGTGTTCTTTATGTTGCTCTAATTATTAATTTTATGGTATATAATTCTTCATCATTTGTTGTTGTTGTTGTTGTTGTTGTTGTTGTTGTTGTTGTTGTTGTTGTTGTTGTTGTTGTTGTTGTTGTTGTTGTTGTTGTTGTTGTTGTTGTTGTTGTTGTTGTTGTTGTTGTTGTTGTTGTTGTTGTTGTTGTTGTTGTTGTTGTTGTTGTTGTTGTTGTTGTTGTTGTTGTTGTTGTTGTTGTTGTTGTTGTTGTTGTTGTTGTTGTTGTTGTTGTTGTTGTTGTTGTTGTTGTTGTTGTTGTTGTTGTTGTTGTTGTTGTTGTTGTTGTTGTTTATCGTTATTATTATTATTATTATTATTATTATTATTATTATTATTATTATTATTATTATCATTATTATTATTATCGATGTTATTAACCTTATTCTAACCCACAGTAACTTAATGAAACCTAATTCACCTGTCACCTAACCTAACTTTCATCAGACCTAAGTTAACTACCACCTAACACAATCAAATCGAAGTCACCTGTCACCTAACTTCATGAAACCTAACTCACCTAACGTAACTTCGGGTTCGGATCCGGGGTTTCGGACTGGGAGCTTAGTTTGGCTCCAGAAGACCTACTACACACTCTTATCATGCAAACCGAATCCCAGTCCCGTAGGAGCGAGGCCGAGGGAACAACAGTGAAAGTGTGAGACGGCCGTCCTGAAGTACTGTCTCAAGGTCCTGATAAATGACAGTGACACGAACTGATGATGATGATGAGAGAGAGAGAGAGAGAGAGAGAGAGAATAATATCCACAATACCTGTACCTATACCTGAACCTGTACCATCCACTGTACCTGTACCACCTATTGTATCTGTATCTGAATCTGTACCATGCCCTGCACCTTAACATGTACCATCCACTGAACCCTCTAGTGCACCTGTACAATACATTTTACCTGTACTGTCATTTTTCCTAACTATGTGTTTGAACATTAGTTTGAAACTAAAATTATTTTGTTTTTTGTTTAGGAGTTTTGTGCACGTGTTCATGTAGTTTGTCGTAATGTGTCGTGGTTTGGCGCAATCTGGTCTAGTCCGATACATTCAGTGCAGTTTGGCGCGTTTGGGCGTTGTTTTGGCGTAATTTGGCGCTTTTTGGCGGAATCTGGCGTGTAAGCACAGTGTGTCACAATTTTATGTTTTTTAACAGTTTGGCGTAAACTGACACAAACTGGCGCATTTTGGCGTAGCTTTGCAGTCTGGCGCAGTTTGGCGCTATGCCGCGTAGCTAGGCACCGTTTAGCGCACTATTGCGCAATTTGGCGTAGTCTGAGTAGAGCTATCTCAATTTGGTGCAAATTGGCGCTTTTTTAGCGTAGCTTGGCAGCGTGGCGGGACTGGTGGCGTGTTGAGTGGTCTGAAATGAGGCAATTTATCGTGGCCTTGTTACTGACTCCCACCGCTAGCTGTCGATACATTACCCAGTGAAAACACCATGTTTATGTTTCGTTATCATTCTCTCTCTCTCTCTCTCTCTCTCTCTCTCTCTCGCTCTTGTTATCAGTCTCCCTCTCTCTTGTCTTCCCTCGCTCTTTTTCGTTCTCCTTTTTTTCTTTTTCCTGTTCTCCCTTTCACTCATTCTATCTTGCTCTCTCTTTCTCTCTATATATAAACATCTCACTATTCCTCTTAGCCTGTCTCTCTCCTTCCTATACTTCTATCTCTATCTCCCTTTCTTTCTCTCCTACGCCATCAAATGTGTCGTCTTTCTTTCCATCACTCTTTTTTACTTTCTATAAACTCATTATCTTTCTTTCCTCCTTCCCCCCTTTCTCTCTCTCTCTCTCTGATTCTATATTCTGTTGTTACCCCCAGACAAAAGGTGATGTGAGAGAGAGAGAGAGAGAGAGAGAGTTTCCTTCCTCTCTTCCTTCCTCCTCTTCACTCTCCCACTAATTTGTCTTATCTCTCACCCTCCTCTCTACCCTCCTCCTTACCTCTCCTTAGTTCCCTCTCCCCTATCCTCCAATCTCCCTCCTAACCTTCCTCCCCATTCTCCTTCACCCTACCCTCTTACCATCTCCTTCAGCTCCTCTCCTCACCCCCCATCCCTCACCACCTCCCCCCAACCCTCACTCTCCCTCAGGCTAGAAAGAAATATTGAAAGTTAGAGGAGAAAGAGAGAAAGAGAGAAAGTAAAAAAAGAGAGCGAGTGTGTGTGCATGGTTGTATTGTCCCTGGTAGTACCCTAAGGCAGGTCTATTAAATAATGCACCCTTTCCCTTTCACAATGGTGGAAATTTTGCATTGGATCCGTAGAACGACCAAACACCCTTCCTCCTCCCTCCCTCCCCCTTCTGGGAAAATTGTAAGGGGAAGGAGGGGTAGAGTCATAAAAGTGTGGGAGGAGGGAGGGGAGGGGAGGGGAGGAGGGGAGGGGAGGGAAGGGGAAGGAGGGGAGGGTAGAGTCACAGATTGAGGAGAGGGGAAGGGGGTCAAGTTACACAGATTGAAGGGGAGGGAAGGGGAGGGAAGGGGAGGGGTCAGATTGCACAGATTGAAGGGGAGGAAGGGGAGGGAAGGGGTCGAGTCTACAGATTGTGGGGGTAGGTAGGGAAGGTCGAGTTGTTGTGTGTGTAAGGGGGAGGAAAGGATAGATGGGGGGTAAGGAAAATATATGTGGGAGAGAGAGAGAGGTACATGATGTGTGGAGAGGGAGGGAGGGGAGGAGGGGAGGGAGGGAGGGAGGGAGGGAGGGAGGGAGGGAGGGAGGGAGGGAGGGAGGGAGGAGGGAGGAGGGAGGGGAGGGAGGAGGGAGGGAGGAGGAGGGAGGAGGGAGGGAGGGAGGGGGGAGGGAGGAGGAGGAGGGAGGGAGGGAGGGGGGAAAGGTTACCTAAACATAAATTCGGATAGGTTAAGCTATGTTACGTTGGATTGGATTAGGTCAGGTTAGGTTAGGTTAGGTCAGGTCAGGTTAGGTCCTGGTATCAGATACATAATCTTCCAAATTTTTACAAGACTCATGAGCAGAGAAGAGGTGTGAAAAGACCGTCTCCTTTATACACATATGTTGGGTTCCAAAAATGTGAGGGAATCCAGTTTTCGTTCAACAGTTACACAGGTTTTGTGTTCTGAGTTAGATATGTCAGGGAGTGTTTGTGTTCGATGTGTGTGTGTGTGTGTGTGTGTGTGTGTGTGTGTGTGTGTGTGTGTGTGTGTGTGTGTGTGTGTGTGTGTGTGTGTGTGTGTGTGCTTGTGTGTGTGTGTGTGTGTGTGTGTGTGTGTGTGTGTGTGTGTGCTTAGTGTGTGTGTTCTATGAATACATGATAGGATTTGATGTTTATGTTGTGTGTTGTTGATATTTGACTAATAGGATAACTCTCTGTACGGTCCATTATTCTCCTGCCTGTTTATCATATTTTGTTTTGAAAGAATGGACATTATTACACACACACACACATTGTATTATCAATGTTAAACAGAATTTCCCATCCAGAACTCGAACTCTGGTACTTCAATAAGCTAGTCCAAGGCCGTACCACTACACCACCACCCATTAAAACTTACGTCTTGCTAATGGAGACTATTGAGGGCCCTGACACGTGTTCCAGTGTACACAATCATGAGGTGGCGGTAGCTCATACGGCTGGCGAGTTCAGGGACGCTGGTTCGAACCCTGAACGGTGTATGTGTTAGTGTGTGTGTGTGTGTGTGTGTGTGTGTGTGTGTGTGAGTGTGTATCCAATATCCACACACACACAGACACACATATATCCACACACCCTGAACGGTGTATGTGTTAGTGTGTGTGTGTGTGTGTGTGTGTGTGTGTGTGTGTGAGTGTGTATCCAATATCCACACACACACAGACACACATATATCCACACACATATATACTTTAGAGTACTTGGTATACCGAAGTAGATATTTACACATCGTTCAAGTGAAAGTCAGGACATAAAATATATCATCTTCTCTCATATTAGCGAAGATGAAATGAGAATCTTAAGAGAGTTTAAAACGTGGGTGGTGTCGGTAGTTGAAGTAGTTAATGTCGGGTGTAATGATAAGGCGGCGTGTTAGACTGTGTGAGAGACATAGTGTTGGTAGTAAAGTGTAACAGTAAACCTCCTTCAACAACCTGTAATATTGCCACCTCAGCACTACATCCTTCAACCCTTGTGGAATTATTATATTATATACGTGTGTGTGTGTGTGTGTGTGTGTGTGTGTGTGTGTGTGTGTGTGTGTGTGTGTGTGTGATAATAATGATAAATAATAATAAAAATAATAATAGTAAATAATAATAATAAAAATAAATAAATAATATATAATAATAATAATAATAATAATAATAATAATAATAAAAAATAAAAATAATAATAATAATAATAATAATAATAATAATATTAATAATAATAAAATAATAATAATAATAATAATAATAATAATAATAATAATAATAATAATAAAAAAATAAATAATAA